ACGGCCATAGTTAGTAGAGTTAGCCTTTGGAAGTCTTTATCCACTACTCGTGATTTTGTCAGCTCATTCAGCCACTGTTCTCGCCACTGTTTATAATCGTCGTTTCTCGGAGCTGGGAGCTTCCATATCCCGATTCCTTTGGTATTCCTGCATGATCCGCATCCAAATACGGCACAATTGTCGCCTGGCATTTCGTATACATAAGTAACTAGTTTGATAACGATTTAAACTATTTTACAGAAAGATAACTGCGATGTTTTCGTGACTCGACAACAACCTCATACTATCTCCGACGCCATTTTGAAAAAACGTTTTGCACGGTCATTATTACGTGATCTCTCTAAAATCGAACAATAACCTCTTCCTCTGATGTTCGCCGGTTTTCCTAACCAGTCGCCTCTACTAACTATGATAACGGCCAAAGAGAGAGTTAAGCAATATCCTGCCAAATAATTATTAATACTTAGGTTTTCTTAATATGGACTTACATTTAAATTTAAAATGTACTTCAAATTCAATACTTTAATATTGCACAATTTGTATAATTTGCACATAATTTGCTAAATTTGGCGCATAATCACAGCAAAAATGGTGCACAATTTCTCATAAAATAGTGCATAATTCCCCCAGCCGTGTATTTACATCTGCAGGCTTGTGATACTGACTATGTACTCAGGCATTAGGTGATAACCACAATTGCTTCAATTTTTTTAAATGTTTGATACCTGAAAGTGCTTTGTTCGTCCAGGAGTAGCTGATACTGGAACTTTCTTGTCATTTAGAAGTGTGTTGATTGTTGAACTTTTCCCCACATTAGGATACCCAACCTGTTCAAAGGTATGATGAAGAAAGGACATGAACAAGTGAAGTTTTTATCCACACAATAAGGATCACTCCCAATGTGTGATAACTCCCTGTATTCTGCCTTAAACCGAAATACCTACCAATGGCGGTAAATATCCACCACATTCATAGACACCAAGGTAAATAATTAAGAAAAAGCCAAAAGAAGGCTGCTTTAAACTAGCCAAATTGCGCCTCCTGTTGCATTCTCCTGACACTGTGCAAACTAAAAAACTTTTAGCAATTTTCATATTTTTCTATTTAATTGCCCAGTTCCTCCAAATTATCTCCTATTTAGCAAATGTCACGAAACGGGACACCAATTTATTTGTTCATCTGTCCAAGCAAGGAAATGGACGCAAGCTATTCAGTCAACTGTGCGATAACACACTCTATACATCTTGGGTTTACTTACCAAACCAACAGTAGTGAGGATACTATGTGAATCACCGACTGTTTCTTGTATCTTTTTCATATGTAGTATTTTAAACAAAGCTAACAACTCATCTCTTGTTAGTAGCTTTGCTGAGAACTCATCATCAAAGCTTTCAACGTCTGCATTAGACTGGTCAGTAACCTCTGATGCATTTTCCACACTGGGATCAATACTGTCATCAGTCGTTTTTAGTTCTTTGAGTCCTTTCATTGAGGATATTTCACTGACTGAATCATGACCAGATACACTTTCAGTCTTTGCATTGACAGAAGGTTGTTTTTCTTGTTCTGCATCCAAGCACAGGTCACTTTGACAGGAATACAATGAACTGTCACCCTTGTCTTGAACATTTGACCCCAAATGTTTCAAGTCTGTGTCAATCGTGCTCTGGGAAGATAACATTAAATATTCACATTTATCTTCAGATAAATTATCATGTGAAGTTAAGGACACTTTATCTGTACGAGGTACAGCACTAGGATCCTGAAGAGTGTCTTGTTGATCATCATTTTCAAAAGTCATTTGTGAGAGTTTTGACCACAATGTAGCACTTTGTTCTTCATATTCTTCCAGTTCATTGTCTTCCACCCCTTCTATTTTCTCTTCATCTTGTTCAGAGTTCTCTTCCTCTTCTTCCTCTTCAGAAGCAGCATTTAACTGAAAAGAAAAACATTTTGAATGGACCTCCTTATACGAAAGTCATTTTCTGGGAAGAGGAAAAGCAGAATTAGTGTGTGTGTGGGGGGACAGGCTAACTATGGGAAAAGTAAATAGTATGATTGTTAGTCAGAGGATGTTTCCCTTGCTCTCAATGCAATCATTGTGACATTAAGTCTATAAATTTGTCAAAATGCTTTCAACTTTTTAAAGAATAACTTATGTGGCTTGAAACTCCCAGATAATTTGCTTAAAAAAACTACATGAAAACTTTACGTCTGCTACGGCTAAACTGGACTTACAACTGAGAGCCGCTCATTCTCTTGTTGTGCAGACCAGAAAGCCACTGGTAACCCAACATTTCTGAAATATCTTGACCAGGAATATCTGTGTGTAGTAAACAGACAATAATCTCTGAGCAGTCACAAACATACTAGCACTTAGACACAGGAGGAAAGGATACATGTTTTGAGAAAGTATTCAGGACTTATTCTTGGTGTATGATGAATGTTGCTGAAAAAATAGAACTCTAAAAAGTTTGTCAGATCCACCATTCCTTTGTTGTAGACCTGTACATCGATCAACTGTAAGTAAAGTTGCTCATTACTTTCTTTCTTATCTCCATAAGGATGGTAATTATTATTCATGTCAGCAGTCAGATTTGATTGGTTGAAATATGAAACTGATTAAACTTCAAAGAACTGGTTTTTACCTCTGCTCTGGAGATAACAAGTCTGCTTTATTTACAAGAAGAAGGTTGCATTTTTTTGGATACACTTCTTTCACATAATTCTCCTAAAAAGAAGTAAAATTGGACTTAAAAGCAAATTAGAGCAGACAAATTTCATTTACAAAAACACCCCCTGTCATGTTCCAAGAAGTATGTAGAGTTCACATATACAAGATGCACTTGGTAAAAGAACCATTATCTCTTCAAAGGCAAGAACTTGTTTGCAGCTTGTGCATCTGCAGCACTTTCCTCATGCTAATGAAGAGAGAAAGGTTCTGGTTATTCATCATGGTGCAAGAACAGTGACAGAGAAATTCTCCTCAAGCACACCTCATGCATACCTGTCTTACTTTCACTAGTAACAGCCTCTTGCAGGACTATCCTCACCTGGACTGGTCATTCTTCTGTTTATGAAGCATTGTGGCAATTGTTTTAGAGTTAAGTGTAGTAACAACTATAAATATTACTCAAAATGAATGAAAACGATTTCTTACCAAATCTTCACATCTAAACAAGAGGGGATTCCTTGCATCTACAATCTGGACAACTACATCACTAGAAGGGTACAAAATGTTATCATTAATTAATGAATCAATTAGCAAATCTTCTGACTGTACAAAAAGGGACAGAAGCATGTGGCTTCGTGACTAAATCATTCAAAATTAGGTACAATTTACAAGCATAAACAAGCTAAGGTGAAAGTAATAGTTTTGACCAAATTTTGATGAAGTTCATGATTTTTTGTTCTGATTAATCTTTGTTTGACCCCACATGCATTCCTGTTATTAAAATTATTGAATATCTGCCAGCAAATTAACAATTAAAGATCTATATAGCAGTTATATATGGTACAAGACAAATCCTCCACCTGCGTTCAATCACTCTCCACAACTGTCTCCAAAACCCAAGATTACGCTCAAATGGTGTAAGAAGTATATATTCTTTCTCTTGCAACCTAGAGCAATTATTTTATAAAAAGGAATAATCAGAGTGGATATTTAGGGAGATACCTGACACTCAACAGAACAAAGACTGTGGCATTGCTGGCAATTTTGTAAATGTTTGACAATGTGGGAGGACCTATCATTGCCCAAGTGCTTATACACAAGTGTGGATAAATGCCAAGAAGTTTCTTAGACACAGCAAGCATTACAGCCTGCAGAAATTCCCACTAATGCCACAATCTTTGTTCTGACGAGTGTTTTAAACTCCTTGATCACCTCCCACCACACTACAATTCAAAATCAAAGAAGCCATTCATATTCAATGGGAGTGACCTACACTCAATCATCAACTGTATCATATCAATCTAAAACTTTCTTCATAATCATCAACTGTATCATATCAATCTAAAACTTTCTTCATAATCATCAACTGTATCATATCAATCTAAAACTTTCTTCATAAT